AACGATGTAATTATTATTTAAAAGTTCGCGTATTGAAAACGGGTACTCCTATAATTTGAAATATACCCCTTTCACAAATTTATTTCTTTAAAGAATTCTTTAAGGTTTACAAAGACGTACTGGTACTGCGTCAAGTCAACCGTGTGACGTTGTAATGTAATGCGTTAATCTTAAGATCGGGGTAATTTGTCACCGGTTTGTCGGACGTGATAGGTGAATCAGGTCCTTCTTTTTGTAGATGGCGATTGTATAATAAATCACCAAGGTTGTATATAGCCTAGTTTGTCATTCATGGCTCAGTAGACACCCACACTAAGCAAGTGGAGATTTTACTGTCAAGTCGCGCGACGTGATCTCACTTCATCAAAGCTCCTGACAGCGATTCGTACCACAAGGTGTGGTGAGCTCATCCAAGGAGAACAATTAGTGACGTTCATGACAAATTTATATTACCCAAAGACACGGGGGTTGCACATTTGTATATTGGCCGAACTTGGCCGTGGAAGCAATAAAACTGTGGTCACTTGTCGATAAACTGAAATGAAGCAAGAAAGGTGTACAATGTGAGTAGAATTAACCCTGGGGTTTAATAGAAAATGCGATGCGAGGTGACTGAACTGTACTCAATTTACAACGATGCAGGATGGACGTTGTATGTGTGGTCGCGTTTACTTTTCTTCTACTTTCTTGAAAAAGCACGAATATTCAGACATAAAAACTACAGTCTGACTGTTAACTTGCGGAACCTATCCAATAATAACACTGAAATACAATACCCAGTGTTGCTCGTGGTACTTCACCTGAAACTAATCCATTTGATGAAAGCGTTCTTTTTTCTCAGCTCCTTTGATACAGGGAAGTTCTGGGGTAAAGTTATTTCTGGATGTGGTCATTACACCTGAAACCTGTCTACCAGTTGTGGTCATTACATCCTGAAACATGTCTACCAGTTGTGGTCATTACATCCTGTAACATGTCTACCAGTTGTGGTCATTACACCCTGTAACATGTCTACCAGTTGTGGTCATTACACCCTGAAACATGTCTACCAGTTGTGGTCATTACACCCTACCGTCTACCAGTTGTGGTCATTACACCCTGTAACATGTCTACCAGTCTACCAGTTGTGGTCATTACACCCTGAAAACATGTCTACCAGTTGTGGTCATTACACCCTGTAACATGTCTACCAGTTGTGGTCATTACACCCAGTTGTGGTCATTAAAACATGTCTACCAGTTGTGGTCATTACACCCTGTAACATGTCTACCAGTTGTGGTCATTACACCCTGTCTACCATGTTGTTACCAGTTGTACATTACACCCTGAAACATGTCTACCAGTTGTGGTCATTACACCCTGTAACATGTCTACCAGTTGTGGTCATTACATTGTCCTGGAAACCTGTCTACCAGTTGTGGTCATTACACACCCCTGAAACATGTCTGACCAGTTGTGGTCATTACATTACACCCCTGTAACATGTCTACCAGTTGTGGTCATTACACCCTGTAACATGTCTACCAGTTGTGGTCATTACACCCTGAAACATGTCTACCAGTTGTGGTCATTACACCCTGTCTACCCTGTAACATGTTGTTGGTCATTACACCCTGTAACATGTCTACCAGTTGTGGTCATTACACACCCCCTGAAACCCATGTCTACCAGTTGTGGTCATTACACCCACCCTGAAACATGTCTACCAGTTGTGGTCATTATTAATCCTGTAACATGTCTACCAGTTGTGGTCATTACATCCTGTAACATGTCTACCAGTTGTGGTCATTTACAGTTGTGGTCCTGAAAACCAGTTGTGTCTACCAGTTGTGGTCATTACATGTCTACCTGTAACATGTCTACCAGTTGTGGTCATTACACCCTGTACCAGTTGTGGTCAACATGTCTACCAGTTGTGGTCATTACACATGTCCTCATTACCCTGAAAACCAGTTGTGGTCATTATGTCTACCAGTTGTGGTCATTACACCCTGTAACATGTCTACCAGTTGTGGTCATTACACCCTGAAAACCGTCTACCAGTTGTGGTCATTACACCCTGAAACCTGTCTACCAGTTGTGGTCATTACACCCTGTAACATGTCTACCAGTTGTGGTCATTACACCCTGAAACATGTCTACCAGTTGTGGTCATTACACCCTGTAACCAGTTGTGTCTACCAGTTGTGGTCATTACACCCTGAAACATAACCTGTCTACCAGTTGTGGTCATTCATTACACCCTGAAACATTACACCTGTAACATGTCTACCAGTTGTGTCATTACACCAGTTGTGGTCATTACACCCTGTAACATGTCTACCAGTTGTGGTCATTACACCCTGTAACATGTCTACCAGTTGTGGTCATTACACCCTGAAACATGTCTACCAGTTGTGGTCATTACACCCTGAAACATGTCTACCAGTTGTGGTCATTACATCCTGTAACATGTCTACCAGTTGTGGTCATTACACCCTGAAATGTCTACCAGTTGTGGTCATTACACCCTGAAACATGTCTACCAGTTGTGGTCATTACACCCTGTAACATGTCTACCAGTTGTGGTCATTACACCCTGTAACATGTCTACCAGTTGTGGTCATTACATAACCTGAAACTGTCAACATGTCTACCAGTTGTGGTCATTACATCCCTGAAACATGTCTACCAGTTGTGGTCATTACATCCTGAAACCTGTCTACCAGTTGTGGTCATTACACCCTGAAACCTGTCTACCAGTTGTGGTCATTATACCCTGTAACATGTCTACCAGTTGTGGTCATTACATCCTGTAACATGTCTACCAGTTGTGGTCATTACATCCTGAAACCTGTCTACCAGTTGTGGTCATTACATCCTGAAACATGTCTACCAGTTGTGGTCATTACACCCTGAAACTTGTCTACCAGTTGAGTTCATTACACTCTGAAACTTGTCTACCAGTTGTGGTCATTACACCCTGAAACTTGTCTACCAGTTGTGGTCATTACATCCTGCAACATGTCTACCAATATATAACATTTCCGCCACTTCTTTTCAGTTTCGTTTCTGATAGGCCTGTAGAAGTTTAAAAACATGAAGACAAGATACTTGCTGAGGTTGGCAACTCATTTCTGGTACGCCGGACTGGGGGTCGACCTGAAGACTATTTGGAAAATCTTCCGGGTTTTCTGCCTTTTTGGGGTGAAGTCTTACATATGCTGGGTGAGTGAGTGAGTTTAGTTTTACGCCGCTTTTATCAATATTCCAGCAATATCACGGCGGGGGACACCAGAAATAGGCTTCACACATTGTAGCCATGTGAGGAATTGATCCGGGGTGTTCGGCCTGACGAGCGAAAGCCTTAACCGCTAGGCTACCTCACCATCCCTCATCAGTATTTGGGATTCAAGGGGTGAGGAAATGAGACTCGAGTAAATATGATGTGGCAGATCTATTTGGAATTCAGGGGATGCGTTTTGATGTCGTAAATGACCGGATGCGCGAGTGAGTGAGTGAGTGAATTTATTCTTACGCCGCTTGTACCAATATTCCAGCGTTGTCACGTCGGGGTCACCATAAATGGCCTTCACATGTTATACCCATGTGGGGACTGGAACCCGGGTCTTCCGGGTCGTGACGAGCGAACGTTTGAACCACTAGGTTACCGCCATCGCCCCAAATGACAAAATAAGCACTGAAGCGTAGTTACAAATATTTAACAAGTTGTTATCCATAAACACTTTCGTGTCTTCATATGCGCCTTGATTAAGAATATTTATTTTTCCTCAGAACAATATTAGAACAAACATATTTCAGAAAGGTGATGGCACTGTGCACAACTCAACGATCGCGATCAGTAACGTTTGTTGTTGAGTGTATTTTGGTAGGTGGTATGCTCGGCAGCTTGAAACGTGAGAAGTTCAGGGCTTCAGTGAGGGCCCACGTGGAAGCACATGTATACTCCCATGTAAATGTATACTCCACTGTAAATAATATTTCGTTGCGTCTGTGAGAACCTATCCAACTTGGAACTCAGGCGCTTTATTTGTATAGCATTATATCGCAATATTATGAAGCGCATGTGAGCACCTATCCAAATTCTGGCGGGTTTCATTTTATTTTATTTTCCTTTTTTTTATTTGTGATGTTTGTGTGCGTTTGCATGGCTGAGGCTGTCCCAACAAAGGAGCGTGTGTATTTACTCGAAATGTGTTGTCAGATTGGGGGATTGTACGTGCGCTTCCAACGGTTACTATTCTGAAATGTTCGACAGTTTGGGATGTCGTTTACATATGACATAAGGTGAGGTAAGATTAAAAGGGTTTTGAGTTGCGCTCAAAATTCCCGCAATACATGCATGTGCTGCTGCTGTTAATACTACAACTGCTTCTATAACGACGACGATTACTATTAAGTTGTTGTACTGCTGCTTCTGCTTCTGCTACTACTGCTACTACTGCTGCTACTACTACTACTACTACTACTGCTACTACTACTACTACTACTACTACTACTGCTACTACTACTAACTACTACTACTACCAATATAGAATGTCTTTGAACAACATTATTTTCCCTTCCACCGAGCCCCTTCTGCAATGCAAAAGCCCAAAATGAACCCTGGGTTTAGGATCTCCCAATTCTCAATGTTGTCCTATTTCGTTGCGTATATTTTCATTTTTTAAGATAAATCGTCAACGGGTTTAAATCACAATATGGTAAATAATCTATCTATATTGACGCCAATACAAATGATAATTTGCATTAAAGAGACAAAACACTAAAACAGTTTACTTATGCTGGTCGGTGGAATAATATAATAACAATTTACCTAAACCATGTTATCATTTCATGTGTATTTCCTTGCATTACATATTCATATCAGCGAGATCAGTCGAGACAGTGTCTCACATTATTTGAAGATAGAATGGATGTAGTTAGTATATGATTTGCTTGATAATCGATGTTTTAGCGGTGTGATGTAGTGTTCCCTGTTCAGAGTTATGCCCCTTTGATGGTACCATCTCACATCCGGAAGAAATAATGTGATGTTTTTCTTCAGAAATATTTGATATTAGGCACATCTTCCAACCACATTCAAGGTAGTACCCCATTAGTTCTTTGTCATTGCAAAAGGTAGACGAGTGCACATTAGTACTATTGTTTGCATTTTTCTTTTGCCATTGTATTTTTGCTGCATCATTTCTAAACATACACTCTGACTTGTCTGAGGATGATGCTCCCAAAGATTACGTGGTCTACGTCATTGGTGCAGTGTCATTGCCCAAACAATATCAGTCCTATGTTCAGTGGAAGCGCTCAAGTTGTAAAGTTGTATCAGCCGCTGAGCAAATGAGTAATCCAAATTGAAAAAATGGCGACTTGCCGTTACAACTTACACGTTCCAATGACGTGACGGTTATGTCAACATGGTCGATAGTTCAAAGTCGGGCTTTGATGATCGGTCACATTCAGTATCATCTCTGACTTTTATTATTACTTGATTTTAATTCTGTTTGATGCTCAATACTTTTTGTTGTAAAAGTGTTTGTCTGTACATGATATCATTAACATATCAGTGGCAGTGCAGTGGCAGGAAATCTAATTTTGTTCATTTTCTGGTTAAGGCTACAATTTCGTAATTGCATTTTGTGACTTGAGTGAATTAGCTTTGCTAGTGTCAGGTTGAAGTTTATCAAGACTAATTGGCATTGCAAATTTGTCAACACATCATCATGGGATCATGAATGCAAGCACAATACTTACAAAGTGATCAGTACGTCAGTTCTGGGTGTAGGTGGTGTAGCTACCCTTTTCTGCAGAACTTGATCAAAATTGTATATTTTCAGACGAAATTGGGTTCTTCAACATTAACTGATAAGAAACCCAAAATACCCAAAAGTGTTGTTTTACTGGCAAGAGGTGTTTAATTAAAATGATCACAAAATGGTGCTTGATTGGAAAGATTATCCATAGGCTAAGGATAGGTCAGGGCTAACAGGGTTCGATGTAGGGACAACTTAGAAATAGCTTACTCCTGGTGTATGTTGACATCTCGACTGTGTTGGACCAGACTAAAGCAGTGTGCACCCAAAACGGAATGTATTAACTCTGGATTTATATGTTCAAGAAACTAACATGTCAGATCCCAGACCAGGACATCAGATAACACTGGGACAACATACAGGGTATTGTAAACAATGTATATTAATTAATTTCAAGTCTTGGTGTTGTGTGAAAAACTCAATAAGTCAGTCACAGATTTTGACATGAATTTGGTTCATGTAGTGATGAATAAATTGTCATTTTTTGCCAGTATCAGGCTGCATTAGCATTATATCTCCGAGGTTTTATTTGTCATATCTCTATGGCAACTTAATATTACAATTACATAACTTACCCTCTTGATTGGGTAGGGATTGAAATGACAATAATTGGAGGCTCTTGCCAATTAACACAATTCAGCTGCACTCAATAAGCTGTAATGATGCCCAGAAGTATGTCCTTTGAAAAGTTCGTGAATTATACTCAGCCTAATATTACATCATTTAGACATACTTTAATAATATGAAGTAGATATATCCCTATGTTGTATGTATAAGCTGTATCCTTAAGCCATGAAAACCTCTATGAACCTGAAGGTGGCACATCTCAAGCCCCAATACTCTATCTTTTGGTACAGGTCTTATGTAATATGTAACCAGTGACTAGTTGACAGGCTATTATTATGTGATAAGCAATGAGTCTAAAAAGGCAATATGTCAAACAACAAATTTTTCTGGAGTTAAGCAGATGTCTGAACATAAAATGTTGTTTGTGATTATGTACAGAAGGTTATGCGAAAACAAGCAATGTTCTACCATTCACTGTGTATTTATACTTCATACATTGTCAACATGCATTTATTACACACAGCATGTTTACCAAATAACAACCTCTATAATTCATCCTTTATCTTCTCAAAGGGGTGGTGGGGTTGCCTGTTGGTTAGAGCATTCATTTGCTGAAGACCTGGGTTCGATTCCCTACATGTGTAGAGTGTGTGAAGCCTATTTCTTGTCACCCCCTTCCATGATATTGCTGGAATATTGCTAAAATAAATTGTGTAGAATATCACTCACTCTTTCTACTCGAAGCCTTCCCAGAACATGTTATAGATGGTACCATGTAACTGTTTCAGTGTTTTCCAGGTGTTACCATGTGCTGAAGTGTGTCGACCAGGGCATGTGATGCTGGTCACCCGATGCTGTCACTACACAGTATCTCACACGATGGGTCGGTGTTCGCTCCGCAGACTGGTCGTGATCATCGCGACCCTGTCTGTCATGGCGACCATCACATTTTTCATATGTAAGTATCTCACCATATTTGAACAATTTCCTTCTTAAAAGGCAGTGAGTCTCAATGTCCAGTAGAAATACTTTTCCCCTTCTGACTTCAAGTAATATTTGACGACAACACATTCTCTCAGTTACCCATCTAGTCGTAAACATATTACAACAAAGAACTAGTAATGTTTAATGAAAATTGGTAAACATCACCTGGCTCTAAAACTGAAAAGGGGCTCAATGGTTAAAGCGTCCGCTCATCACACTGAAGGACCAGGTTCGATTCCCCACATGGGTACAATGTGTGAAGCCCATGTCTGATTTGCCCGCCATGATATTGTTAGAATATTGCTAAAAGCAGTGTAAAACCATACTCACTCACTCTCACTCACTCTCACTCACTCACTCACTCCTCCCTGGAAAGATTTCATATTGGCGTATGAACATCAGAACTACTTGAAAAAAAAAGAACGATAGCTCTATTCCAGTTTGACCTGTGAAGATCCGGAGTAGAATAGGTCTTCAGCAACCCATGCTTGCCACAAAGGCGACTATGCTTGTCGTAAGAGGCGACTAACGGGATCTGGTTGTCAGGCTCGCTGACATGGTTGCCACATGTCATCGGTTCCCAATTGCGCAGATCGATGCTCATGTTGTTGATCACTGGAATGTCTGGTCCAGACTCGTTTATTTACAGACCACTGCCATATAGCTGGAATATTGCTGAGTGCTGCGTAAAACTAAACTCACTCACTCTATTCTGGTTTGATTCCAGTGGTACTTAATATCACTGAAGCACACATAATTTATAAAACTTATCCTATCTCACGGTATGCACCTCTCTCTCTTTTCGTCTTCGACCTATATGTGGAAACGTGCTGTAGGCTAAGTTGAATCAAAACTTCTTGTCCCCTGTACCACCTGACCTCTGCCCCCACTCCAATAGCATGACCTGTCAATCATCTCTATAAGCGTGCAGTGCGCTCAGATGATCATGTGACGTCCCCTAGCTGTCATTCTCTTTCTTGTCGCTACACCGACTGGATGTGTGTTGTTCTCTCAGCTAGACATTATTTGATTGTCAAAATGGATTAAATCGAATTGATGGTGCTATGGTGGGTGCACTTGGTGAAAGCGTTCACTCTCATGCAGTGAGTGCAGTCAGTTTGGCGCTTTCAACCACAGGGATCAGTTCGGCGCTTCAACCTATATGCTTCCAATGCGGCGCTTTGTTCCAGTTCGGCGCTCTCATATCTTCCTTTGGTGACATCAGGCATGACGGCAGTATCCAGTGCGGCGCTTTCAACACCTTTCCCGTACCTTGCACCACCTGTCTATGAACCACCTCCTAGTTCCAGTGCGCCGCTTACTACCAGAGTGGCACTTGCTGTCCATTCATCACTTTGCACCAATGTCTCGCTCTCACAAAGAGAAGAAGAGACAAGTGCATCATTTCACTCCAGTTCACCGCTCTCGTTCGGTCCAACTCATAAGCCATATGCACCGCATTCGATTGGATCAACACTTCAGCCCAGTGATTCAGCCTAGTGAACTGTTTTTGATTGGAACACCTTTCAGTCCAGTACACTATTACTGTATGGTAGGACGTTTTAGACAAATGCACCAGTCCCGATTGACTCAGTGCTTTAGATCGTGAATGCGGCCGAACGCGATCACCCTGCCAAACCAGATCATTTGACCGAACCGGATCACAGTACCGAACCAGATCACTTCTTCGATCGTCGAACCAACCTAGATCTCGGAATCGATCCTGATCGCCGCACCATACCAGATTACCACTCCAACAGTATTCGCCGATACAACAGTGTCAGCATTCGCCGAATCATCTGGTTACCTCTATGCGCATACTATCATCATGACTTGTTTACTAGTTCGCACAATACGGTACCTACAGTGACTTTTACTACTGCAGTTCTACTTCAACACTTCTTCCAACTTCGGCGTTGATACCTCATTTCTACAGTTTTTACTGGTGCTCATCTTGGCTTCGGGGTAACGCTTCCTGCTTCTACGGTGTCTATGAACAGAACAAGCGTTCACTCCAATGCGCCACTTTCATTCAGTTCGGCACTGCAGAGTGCACCTTGGGTTTTGATTAGCTCATCTCTACACAACAATGCTTTCAGTCCAGTGCGACGCTTTGTCCCAATGCGCCGCTTTCATTCACTTTCTGGTTATCTACTAGTGCGCGATCATTATCCAGAGTGTCGCTTACTACTGCTCTCTTATGTATCATCGCTTCCATCCAGTCGCGCTCTCTTATGTATCAACGCTTCCATCCAGTGCGCCGTTCTCTTATGTATCAACGCTTCCATCCAGTGCGCCGCTTCCAGTTAGTGCATCGTTTCGGCTGGTTGTACAGAGGTAGTAGTATGTCAGTAGCGCAGGCCTCTACATTATGGCGGTGATTGATGATCCCGGATTTAAGATTCCTCCATCATCTACCATCCGATCTTCGACTTTGATGAATGATTCTATTCAACGAATCTACCCTTCGACGTAGATATCAGCTCTACAACCACCCGGTTTGACATATTTGTCCAGAAACTTGACGATGTGAAAGGAAGGGTGCTGAGGTTGACGAAACAGACCACGATTACACCCAGTGATACACCACAAAGCTGCTACGAGTAGTCTGTATACAGTAAAAAGACTTAGGGAAGCGTCGTACAATATTCCTGAATATCAATGCACAGTTTCTGCGTGTGGTACCAGCTGTGATGCTTGGTCAAGTAGCTAGCATCACTTTACCCAGATTATATGGGTTGGGATTCGCCTGGTTAATTGACGACCGTGTTGTCCAGTTTTTGTCACTATTGCATTGTATGTAGCATTTGTAATGACGGACTACTGTTTGTTTACCGGAGACTTTTGATGATACAGTGACTATGAAGTGCCCTGACAGACTTGTCTTGGTCTCACGAAGCAGATACCTATCCCAGCCTTTAATTGCCAGTGATGATGAACGGTGCCATTCCCGGTAAGAGTCAGCATGTTGAGTTTTGTCAGTCATCTGAGAGAAACAGTTTACCGAGGGTGTCAAACAGAATCGCCCGAAAGCGCTTTCATTTGGCTAGGGTTACTCAGTTTTTAGCTTAAGCCCTCAGTTCAGAGGCCACTGCAGCTATGTCAGGACTGTCCGCAAGCATCGATTTTACTACCTTCGTTTCCTGGGGTCACTTGTCTTTTTACCTCCGCCATTCCATCAACATTACGAATGTTCTGGTAGATTGACAATCCCATGCCTCACATCTACTAACTTTTCACTCCATCTGGCGGACCAACACTTCATTTGGCGAACCATAGGGCCTGCATCACTATGTGTACAATGTGAACGATCCTGTAGATTGACTGACAATCTCCATGCCACAAACCTACTATTAAGCACTTCTTCAGTATTGTCATGCTGGCCTGACTAATCGAATGTATCCTATCTCAGGAGAGATTCCTTCTTCAGTGGAAGTAGTTGCTAGACCTTCTGATATCAGCTCAAGCCCCAACATACAGAGGCCATCTCCTACTTCGGCCGATACAGCGATTTCTACGCCCGTATCTCGAGTCCGTCAACTGAATCCGAAGGAATTGAGACACCTTTCAGAACCGCTTCGTCCAGTCCTTCAGTGGTGGCTCGGCGAACTGAATGTCTGCACTGGAGTTTCTATGGTACCCCTAGTGCTTTCGCAACCCAAGATTCTTCGTCAGTTACAAGACCTTTTTCTGTTGATGTCAGCTCAAGTTGTGACTCTTAGGGGACAGCTTCAACTACGGCTTCTCCAATATTTTCTGTGTCCGCATATCAGGATCGGCGAACCTCACGCATTGATCTTTCTTTCTCCAGTGCTCCATCCCGATCTCCAGTGGTTTTTAAACATGTTGAATGTTTGCAGCGAAGTCTCTTTAAGGCTGTTTGCTCCAGTACATCACCTGTACGTAGACGCCTCTGTACATGGGTGGGGAGCTCACTTTCTCGATCAGCAGGTCTCCCGCAGACCGCGCATGTCACATCAACGGTTTCGAGCGCAGGGCAGTGATTCTTGCGATCACTCATTGGCAACACCTGTTACAATCAACCAAGCTTTTGATTCGATCGGACTATGCTGCAGTCGTGTGGCACATCAATCGAATGGGATCCATGGGGTCTCCTCAGCTTCTTCAGTGGACACAACAGTTTTTCCACTTAGTGGACTCTCTCAACATCACAGTCCAGGCCAATCACATCCCAGGGGTGAAGTACATCATTGCAGATTCTTTGTCTTGTCGCTAAAACCAGTTGCCTGGACAGCCGGACAGACTTTCGCCTTCCCACCGCTGTCTACTATTCTGGGCCCTGACGACACCGAGGATCTCTCCCTATGTCCTGTCCGGACTTTACGGGTCTATTAGCTGCCTCCAAGGACCGTCGTAGGTTACGCAAGATACTGTTTATTTCTCAGTCACCTGCCTCATCTACAGAAGTCTCTCATACCACACTGGCATTCTGGATGCGATCTACCATCCTTCCTGCCTACGTCTATGCTGACCTTCCTCCTCCTACTACGGCCAACCCTCATGACACAAGAGCCTTGACCTCTACGATGACGCTGCTGTTCCCTTCACGTCATCATGAAGGGTTGTTTTTGGAGATTGGTCTTTGTCTCACCCTACCTCCGGGATCTGTCTGTCACTGACGTGGAAAGTCTTCACCAACTGGGTCCATTGGCTCTGGTGCAGCAGTTGTTGTCGGCTCGCAAACACAGATAAGATGCAGTTCCTAGCTTCGTGTAGGTCTTGCATTCTCTGTATCATGAAAGATATTGTTCCTATCTTTCTTATTGGTATGGATTATATTTGGGCTTAGACCACCTCATACCCACTGTCATACCCATGACTTGATAGACTGAGAGGCTAGTCTTGTGCTACATGCAGAGATGGTCAACATTCCACTTACTGACCTCTACTCTCTGAGCAATTACGTCTGTGTAGTGTTGATTTCCGATTACCTGCTTGGTTTTCGAAACGTTCTGCTCCTAAGTCCGTTCTCACCTATGGTAAGTTGGGGGGATTGGTACTGAACGTTAAACAAGTTGAGCAACGGGCTGTTCCCTCTTTCACCGCCTTCCAGCGTGTGTCTGTGTGGGATAGTTTCGAAGCAGGGACTGTCCAGATTAAGGTCTTCGACTTTAATTCACTGGGATCACTTGATAAATCGTGGGGAGGCAAGATCTACTTGCCAAACTGCGTCCTTTTGTTTGTCAAAAGTTTCGGCTGAAAACCACATTATTTCGGGACCGCCCACTCCCTAGAGTTTTTGTGCTGTGTCAGCTAAGGGGTTATCAAAAGCAACCCATCACAAGTTCAGAGTTAGCACATCGGGAGTTGGTGCTTTCTCCTGGCCTCCTTGTGTTATGGGACCTCACGGTTGTAGAGTTGACACAGGATAATCTGCGGCCCACCAGCCAACCGTGGGATAATGCATACCGTGAGATAGGATAAGTTTAAAAATTTGGAAATTTTGACTATAAATTGTATATTTATATACTTATCCTATCTCACACGATGGACACCCAACCGACCTACCCCACATCACAGATTACTGGAAGCTCCAAGACGAGAATGACAGCTAGGGGACATCACATGATCATCTGAGCGCACTGCACGCTTGTAGAGATGATTGACAGGTCATGCTATCGGAGTGGGGGCAGAGGTCAGGTGGTACAGAGGCCTACAGCACATTTCCACATATGGGTCGAAGACGAAGAGAGAGAGGTGCATACCGTGAGATAGGATAAGTATATAAATATACAATTTATAGTTAAAATATTGTATTGCTGGGGTTTTTTTTAATGAAGATATATATTTTTCATGATTTTGAAAAAAAATTCACATAATGCCATAAATGATTTAAATACTCAGGAATATTTTTATCAAAGTGTCATTATGCCATTCTGACTGGTTTGTCATATTTTCACACATAACTTTCATTGAGATTGGAATGAGTCTTCATGGAGGTTTGCCCAATGCACATTCAGATAACCTTTTAAGAAAAATTGAGATATTTTTTTTTTTTTGACAACAATTAAGAGAATCTTGTTAGAAGGAAACTTATCAATGTGTTTCAGATTCCCTCAGTCTGGATTCCCCCAGTTTTCCAGGTGTGAAGCAAGGTCAGATGGTGAAGTTGCGAGCTCGGCAGCGGCAGTCAGAGGAAGGCATGACGTCCTTGATGGAGGAACCAGATTCAAACACTGCCAATAAAGCACTTCTATTCCAGCATGCTCAAGAAAGCAATGATGGAGGTGTTCACGGTATAAGAAACAAAAATCTTGATGTAAAAATTTTGAACAGCAATGTTGTGCGAGAGAAAACTCCTTCCAAGGGGAAGAAATCCAACCTGGTGGAGAAGATGTCGTGGCCAGACAAGAGGAAGGGAGACAAGGGGAGACAAGTTGCTAAAGTCCACAATTCCAAGCATAGATCTCAGAGACTGGATGAGTTCATGGGGGTGACAGATCCTCTTGTCGTGCCACGGATAGCAGAGTATTGTAACCAACCTGTGAGGGAAGTCCGGGGACGTGAGGGTGAGTACACGTCAGACAAAGAGAGTCAGGTTAGTTTAACAAGTAATATAAACATGGGAACTAAGCTCAAAGTGATACAGGGTGGGGTCTCAGGCGACTTAGCCACCACACATTTTACAGTGGACTAAAATCTTAAAATTCAAATATTCAAAGATATTATCAGAAAGGAAAACACAGACATCATCATTCTAATCTAAATGTATGACAATGAGAGCTACCAAAATGATGTATTTTTTCTAAATAAATGGGCGTTGGGGTAGCTTGTTTGTTAAAGGGTTCACTCATCAACACCCAAGGCCTGGGTTTGATTTCCCACATGGGTACATTTCTGGTGTCCCCCACCTTGATATTGCTGGAATATTGCTAAAAGTGGGGAAAACTAAACTCACTGACTTCTAACTAGGGCGGTGGGGTAGCCTAGTGGTTAAAGCGTTGGCTCATCACGGCGAAGACCCGGGTTCGAATCCCCACATGGGTACAATGTGCGAAGCCCATTTCTGGTGTCCCCCGCAGTGATGTTTCTGGAATATTGCTAAAAGCAGCGTAAAAACCAAACTCAGTCAGTCAGTCAGACTTCTAACTAAAATGTTCATCTGTCCTATGTCAGAAAGTCATGTTTTCATGAGTAATATATCTTTTATTATGCTTGTTTCACATTTGTGAATAATATTTTCATCATTATTCATATGATTTATGCAGAAAATATTTTAATAGTAATGCTGACAGTAGCTGTCTATCTTTGCTGACATTTTAGGCTGATAGGTACATACACAGGCTCAGAAGAGTCTAGAGATCCTGTTGTTTTTTTGTTAATATTCTCAGGAAAACAACCTAGCAGCAGATTAATGCTGCCCCATTGCGTTTATCCACTTGTGAATATTTGCAAAATTCATGCACATTTCATAAAAAGACTCAATAGGTGCTTTGGTCCATGAATATGCATTAACATGATGAATATGCTAAATTGTTACGGTTTGTTCAACTATTTTGTCTGTTTACATATAAACCTTGTTGACCATCTGTATAGCCAGGAAGTATATAGGCCTGGCCTCACCAGTAGAGGGCGTAAATCATACATGAAATGGGGCTCCCATGTTACACATACTGCCCGTAACCATGGTTACATTTAAGATTCTTCTTCAGAGGATTATTTACAGGCCACCATGACGTGGCTGGGATATTGCTCACTGAGCCATGAAACATTTACTCACCCCACTCTATTCCCAGAAATACTGCATATTATGACACAACGATATATGTCAGGGTAGAGATTGCGATCTGTATTTCTAGCTTTTAAGAAACGTTCACAATTTCTCAACTGAATTGATGCAATGTGGTATTTTATCATATTTTATCTCATCTCTTATACATCATGTTCTATGTTCTATGGCCCCTTTACTGAAATAAACACAGTTTCACTGGAAACAGTGTTATATCTGAATAAAATGCATATTATTGTTCAGCAAAGAAAGTGTCTTTGTTGTTTGCCCACAGATCAGTCGGAGTTTCTACCATTTGAATTTGAAATGGTACTGGTAGAATCTCTGATTGTACCACTAGAGACTCCGATTGCAAATCTCTACAAGAAGGATCGGAGATTCTACCAGTAGGGACTCAGATCGCAATCTCTACCCTGGCATATATATAGAACAAATTTCTGTGAGTCAAATTGGTAAAGGTTTTCAAATGGCATTTAGAAGTGAGACACATGAGGAAGAGAGTTTTATGGATGTCAACTTCTTCTATGAGGAACATAACAAAGAAGTTGACTTTCATAAAACCCTCTTCCTCAAATTGGTAAAATTGTTAATATTTTCACAACTGGATTTCATTATAAAGTTCTTATTTTCCTGAGTGAGTTGGGATTAATTGGGTTTAATTACTGACATTTGCAGCAGTCGCAGTATTGTGGTGGTGTGTGGTCCTGTGCACAGAGCTGAGGTCACAAATCAGTTGAAGTTAAGCAACATCGAGCTCGGACAGTCCTTGGATGGGTGACCGTGTTTGGCAGCTTGACTGCCTCACAACGAAGCACATGTGATACATGTGGTCTCACCTTGGGCAAGTGTTCAAAATTGCCACTGTTCACCCAGCAGAAAATGGGTACCCGGTTAGATAGTCATGTGACTATAACCTTCTAGCACCTAACAGGCAGCTTGGGTTATCCGGGGTAATAAGAATCAGATTCTGATTAAAGCGCACGAGCAAACACTTGGTGTTTGGAGACTGTGCGCTATAGAAGATGACTTATCATTATTATTATTATTCCAGAGCAGATCAAGATAATGCCCTGTGATTTACACAACTCATGTATTCCTGTTTCATCCCCAGGTGAAGCTCCTCCTGGCTACTCCCTCAAGTCGGTGTATCTCATTGTACGGCACGGAGACCGATCCCCAATGGGAAGCTTCAAAAACTCACCAAATCCCGTTCTCAGCTGCCAGCATGATTCATCCAAAAAATTTGACATCCCCAATTTTGACAAATTTGTCTCAACAATGCAGTATTACCAAACTCGTCTCCATCCCGGAAACACCTTTCCTTTCCATCTGTACCCTCGCTCACAAACATGTGATAGCTCAGAACTCACCGGACAGGGCTCCTTACAGCATCTGCTAACTGGCTGGCACCTTCATGAGCGATATGTCCAAAAATGGCGGCTGTTCTCAGAACCCTTCAGCCCAAGCCAGGTGTATGTAAAAAGCACTGGCTATAGTCGAACATACCAAAGCGCAATAGCTCTTCTCTACACATTCCTCCCTGCTTTAAATTTGACTGATTTGAACATCTTTCGGTCTGATAATTTGTTTTTCTGTTCAGAGAAATCGTTTGGACATTCCTGTTCATGTCCTGTGCTGAGACAATACAAGAAAATGAGTGACGGAGAGGCGGGAGCGTATGATAGGAATAACACAGATTTAAAACGGGTTCGACAATATATCGCTAATGTTTATAATATAAAGAGACAGGAGTTGCCATGGCTATGGTCAATGATAGACACCCTCATGGCATATGCTTGTCATAAGATTCCTCTCCCTTGCAACAAGAATAATGACTGCATAGAACCCTCGTATCTAGCAGAGTTGTGGCATCAGCTTGATTTGCATGGTGCCAAACTAGATGAATTAAATTCATATCAAAAGTATGCTCGTCTGGGTATTCATCCATTGCTGTATGAGATTAAACAACATATGGTTCTCACCACAAAGAAGAAGGCAAAGGTCAAGTTTGTTCTCTACTCTGGCCACGACACAACGGTCAGTCCTTTGGCCACTGCCTTAGGAATTGGACATGGGCGATGGCCAAAGTATGCAACGAGAATCGCATTTGAGTTGTATTCAAGAGAAGAGCCGAAAAAACACCACTTTCTGCGTATTTTGATAAACGGTGAAGATGTTACGGCCAAGGTCAGCTTCTGCAAGGGCCAGGCAAAGAGTGGATTCTGTAAATTGAAATATTTTGTTGAGTTTGTTCAGAAGGAGAATTTATCCTTATTCAACGGTAAAACATATCCTCAGGCCTGTGAGCCGACGACAACAAATTAAGCTGTTTAAAAGTAGATCATATGGCAGTTTCCAGATGTCTATTAGTGCTGTGAATTAATCATTATATTCACCGACATTGAAAAGACATTTTGTTCTTGCTATACAGGCGATGTATTTTGTTAATCAAGAATTACTGTGATTGTTTTTGAAGTGATTGCAAGGAAATCTGTCCTGGGTGATAACACCCGCTATTCTTATGAGCTTTAGCATTTCATGCTTATATCATGTGGGTGTTTTGTTGTCAGTAAGACTCTTTTGAAAACTCTGAAACCACACTGTCCATGATGCTGAAATACTGATCCGAGCAGAGATGTTTAAAAGAGCTCAGTGAGACTTCAATTTGCCCTTCAATTTGCCTCATTACTTTCAGCATGCATTGTTTTATGTGGACATAATTTAAGACCAGGCATTACATTTTATATGAATATTTATTATTCTACATATAAGGTGAACTTTTACCTAATTCTTGTGTAATCATAAAACTAAGTAGCTTTAGAGTGTAACCTTGTCATCTAGAAACTTTTTCCTGAATATACTGACTCATCTGGATAACCGGACAAAAAGGTATGTTTTACATACTATGCATATTATGAATTTTTACAGTTAGGTGAATTGATACCATAACAAGCTGCTACATGTCAGAAATAATTAGTCATGCTAAGTATTACATAGAGGATATTTCATAGTAGTTGACACAAACACTGTTTATCATCAAGTAGTGTTATTATTCTTTTTTATCAGTGGCATAAAGCCACACATGAAAACAATGATTGCAACCATTTTAAAATATGAAATAAACAGTTATGTGACCTGAAAATATAGTTTGAGAAAAGTGTTTCATATTGATAACGACAGTAATGAGGTATTTTTTATCATTTTATATATTTATGCTTAAAAAAAAAAAAAATTCTCTCTTTTTTTAATTAACGTGTAAATTTTGGAGAGTTAGCAGCCTAGTAAATGAAGTTAGGAGCAAGGAGAAATCATTGAAGTACAATCTCGTCACCCCCTCATCAGTACTACTTGTCTTGTGGTTAAAGCATTCGCTCGTCACGCTGAAGACCCAGGTTCGATTCCCCACATGGGTACAATGTGTGAAGCCCATTTCTGGTGACCTCCATCATGATGTTGCTGGAATATTGCTAAAAGTGGCGTACAATTAAACCGAATCACAATAAAAACTCATGAAAATCGAGGTTAGAGTTGGTCTTCAGCAACCCATGCTTGTTGTAACCAGCAACTAATGGGATCGGGTGGTCAGGCTCGCTCTCTTGGTTAGAATGATTAGATTGATGCTCTTGATGGTAATCACTGGATTGTATGGTCAGGACTTGATTATTCACATACTGCTGCCATATAGCTTTAATTCTACTGAGTGCAGCATTATACAACAAACAAACAAAAAGTACTTAAACCTCTTGTATATGTATTCAGTCGTTGGTTTTTTTTGTGTGTATTTGGTGTTTGATGAGGTTATGGTAAGGTCATATTTTTTATTTATTAAATATTGATCATGTTGATTTCCAAGCAACATGCCATCAGTTTCGAAAGATGTACAAATTGTGGCCTTTTTGGTGATTGGTATTTTTACATTGCAGTAAGTTGCAATTTTTTTCAAGCATACATTTGTTTCAATAAAAGCATTTGGGTAAGATTCACTACAGTGAAGGCTAAGAAGGGTTGTTAAGAATAAGATTAGTTACTATGGCTACATTGGGAGACTAAACTATGGACTTTGAGAATGTCTGTTCCAGTTACACTTCATATGGGCTGATTACCTTTTTCTGAATGGGCATTTGTATTATATTTGCAAAAGAAAACAATATTGATAACTAATTTCTTCTTCTGTAGACAAGTCACACAACAAAATTTTATGGTGATTAGGTCAGACCAATTTTATTTCTCGTTTTACAGATTTCTGTCCCCCCAAAATCTAAAGGCAGGAGGGAATGAAAATGAAAATGAAAATCACCAGTGAAAGTAATATTCCCTTTAAATACTAAAAGTATTTTACTTTTGGCAATATAAAAAGTGTATATGGGGCAAAAAACAATCTAAAAACATTTTCTTGCACGTTTTCATTTTTGGCCAATAAAAATATATACCGTAAAAACAATTTTTGAGCGGGAAACTTAATTTTCATTTTTTTTCTTATTCTTGAAAATATATGACCGGCGGATCCGTAAAACAATAAATAAAGTTGGTGTGGCCTTAGTGATAAAAAAACAACGACACCACAAATATGATTTTAACAAATCAGTCACATTTTCGCTTCACTTCAAATTAAATTTTGTCAATTGACACACAAATTTGAAACAATTACATCCTTAACTCTTATGAGCTAAATTGATACTTGAAAACCAAATGTACTTCATAAAATATGTTAAATTTGGATTAACACTTTCTCAAAAAGTGTAGATTCTAGTACTTTTTTTAGATTAAGTCCCATACAATTTGAAAAACTGTACTAGACTCTGTACTTCACTGAGAAAGTGTGATCCCAAATGTAACTTGTTACATTTGATCATTTTCTAGGTGACAATGTGTTTTCACAATTGTACTCAGACTGAGATTGGTGTCTGTTATTTTTGTCATTGTTTCTCGTTCTGATGACTTGTAAGGTGGGAAGAATGTTTTTGTATTATTTATTTTCTTCACACCAAATATTTTAAGACATCTGTGTTATATCTGTGGCTTGATGTGATTCGTATGAAGCTTGACTGTTTGGAGGATTATGTGTGTAGTGTTCTCAAGTGTACAAATGGGCGATGGGGTAGCCTAGTGGTTAAAGTGTTCGCTGTCACGCTGAAGGCCCGGGTTAGATTCCCCACATGGGTACAATGTTTGAAGCCCATTTCTGGTGTCCTCCGCCGTGATATTGCTGGAATATTGCTAACAGCAGGGTAAAACCATACTCACTCACTCACTCAGCACAAACAAAATTACAAAGAACAAGTTTTTGTAATCACTTGGGGAAAATAAAATCATGTGAGACATACTGGTCGTGAGACTGGGACTGAAATCTGTGAATTAATTTCTGTGACCTTTTATTTGTGGCTGTTTCTAAAGGAAAATTGTGAAGTGGGATTGTTTATACATGAAATTAACGCAGAAGGGTTTGTTGTGAAATTTGAAGATATCAGTATATATATTGTCCATTTGTTTCTAATGACGAAAGAGTGCTGTTAACCCATTCTAAGTCACCTCTTGCCAATTGATGCAGAATATGTGGCATTATTTTGTGTTATCATCAAAACTGTTTTTGTGTATTCAAAATATGTATTTGCATTTCGTTTCAGTTTTTCATATAACATGCATTTAATTTGTCTGTTTTCACAACAAAACATACTGAATGAATTTGATCTATTTGTCCCGTTTCCTCCAAGTTATTTCCAGTTTGTTTCTGGTTGTAGTGTTTTGTATTGCGTGTAGTTCATGTCGGAACTGTAAACGACCAGTGCTCTTTATGCCAGTTGCATGTTTTGTTGTACTTGTTTATTTTTTCACTATGTATATTTTGCATATCATTTTGTGTATAAAAATGTTGGAATTGAGTGAAAATGTGACAACATCCTGGAATGTGTAATTTCTTTTCTTTGGGGAAAGGTACAAAAAAACGTGCGAAGACTAAAGTTTGATCTTCATTGTCTCATATACACTGCACTGCAGATCCAAGGGGTAGATTTATTCAAGATTCCTTTCAGGGGCGCTAGGGAAGCTTTGTGGTCCCTATTTCTTCTGACATGTTAACTGCAACCTCAGCGAACTTGGGAATTAGTGGTGTCCCTGAACAACCTTGGGTATAATTTGCATCCCTCAACAAACATTGGGTATAATTTGCATCCCTCAACAAACTTAGGTATAATTTGCATCCCTCAACAAACTTAGGTATAATTTGCATCCCATAACAAACGTGGGTGTTATTTGCATCCTTCAACAAACTTGGGTATAATTTGCATCCCCCAACAAACTTAGGTATAATTTGCATCCCTCAACAAACTTGGGTATAATTTGCATCCCTCAACAAACTTGGGTATAATGTGCTTCCCAGAACAAATGTGGGTGTTATTTGCATCCCTCAACAATCTTAGGTATAATTTGCATCCCTCAACAAACTTGGGTGTTATTTGAATCCCTCAACAATCTTTGGTATAATGTGCATCCCAGAACAAATGTGGGTGTTATTTGCATCCCTCAACAATCTTAGGTATAATTTGCATCCCTCAACAAACTTGGGTGTTATTTGCATCCCTCAACAATCTTGGGTATTATTTGCATCCCTGAACAAACTTGGGTATAATGTGCATCCCTGAACAAACTTGGGTGTTATTTGCATCCCTCAACAAGCTTGGGTATTATTTGCATCCCTCAACAAACTTGGGTATAGTTTGCATCCCTGAACAAACTTGGGTGTTATTTGTTTCCCTCAACAATCTTGGGTATAATGTGCATCCCTCAACAAACTTGGGTGTTATTTCTTTCCATCAAAAAACTTTGGTATAATTTGCATCCATCAACAAACTTGAGTATAATTTTTCGAATTCCTGGATCCACCTCAGCACTATGTTCTTGCATCAAGTGGATACACTACTTTCTACTAGTCACCTTGAGAGTTGGAACAATGTCCAACTCATTTTTTATATGTTAACCTGGGTAGGATAACATAATACATTTAAAATATGGTGTGGGTCAATAGTTTTTATTTTATTTGGATTGGTGTAGTTAAAACTGGTGTAAGTGTGGAATGTTTAATTTGTTTAAAGTAACATAAATGAATTTACTTCTGCCAGAAAAGGTTTTATTTTCTTGTCGGAGTCTTTTTTTTCAGTTTTAACAGGATATAGTTATTGCATTCAATACCTCTGAGCAATTACTATTTAAAAGGTTTACCATGTTGACAGTAACTGTTTTGAATTTGTTTGGCTTTTGTGCTTAAACTTTTGTAATTTATTGAACATGGACTGAGTGGGCATAAAGATATTTTTTTAAATTTCTTTTTATTATGACTCTCGACTCCTGTTGGTTGAAACTGGAAAATATTTATTGGCACAGCTGATCCTATGTGTGGGAATGATGAAGAGAGGGGTTGGCACTTGATGGTTCTTGAAGCTGATTCTTGTATACCAACATTCCAGCAGTCTACACAGACAGGTAGATGCTCAGTTCATCCTCCATGATGCTCTGCCCTGTCAGATGAATTGTTTCTGTGGTGTTTTCAAATACTACCAGCAGTACTTTTAACACTGTCTTCATGTACACCACCAACCACTACGCCCTTACACCACCAACAACCACTTCTACCCCACACACATTTCTGGTGTCCCATGCTGTGATATTGCTGGAATATTGCTAAAAGCAGCGTAAAACCAAACACACTCACTACGCCACAACACCACCACCATCACCACCAACACTTCTACCCCACACCACCACCAACCACTTCTACCCCACACCACCACCAACCACTTCTACCCCAAACCACCACCACCACCACCAAACACTTCTACCCCACACCAATACCATCACCACCAATCACCATCACCACCAACCACTTCTACCCCACACCACCACCACCAAACACTTCTACCCCACACCACTACCATCACCACCAACCACCATCACCACCAACCACTTCTACCCCACACCACCACCACCAAACAACTTCTACCCCACACCACTACCATCACCACCAACCACCATCACCACCAACCACTTCTAACCCCACACCACCACCATCACCCACTTCTACCCCACACCACCACATCACCACCAACCACCATCACCACCAACCGGCTTCTGCCCACCACCACCATCACCACTTCTGCCCCACCCACACACCACCACCATCACCCACTTCTACCCCACACCACCACCATCACCACCAACCACCATCACCACCAACCACTTCTACCCCACACCACCACCATCACCCACTTCTACCCCACACCACCACCATCACCACCAACCACCATCACCACCAACCACTTCTACCCCACACCACCACCATCACCATCACCCACTTCTACCCCACACCACCACCATCACCACCAACCACCATCACCACCAACCACTTCTACCCCTTACCACCACCATCACCCACTTCTACCCCACATCACCACCATCACCACCATCACCACTTCTACCCCACACCACCACCATCACCACCAACCACTTCTACCCCACACCACCACCATCACCACCAACCACTTCTACCCCACACCACCACCATCACCACCAACACTTCTACCCCACCACCACCACCATCACCCACTTCTCACCCCACACCACCCCACACCACCACCACCATCACCACCAACCACTTCTACACCGCTACCATCACCACCACCACCATCACCACCAGCCACTTCTACCGCCACCCATCATCACCACCATCACCACCATCACCCACTTCTACCCCACACCACTACCAGCAAATGCAACAATCACTACTTCAACTACCACCATCACCACCAACCACTACTACATCCACCATCACCGTCACCACCAACTAGTTTAACCACCCTTGTCACCACCAACCACTACTACACCTCCACTATCCACAACAACCATGACCCCAATCATTTCGACAGAGCCACCAGCACATTCTAAATATGCACTTTCTAAACCAGTTTTCTCTTAACACCCTCTAAATTCCTGATGCACTCTCTAAACCAGCTCGGAGTCAGTATAATGTGTCTGAGTGGGGTATTCATGCTTCACTGCGGCGTGGTATCTCAGTGGACTAGCACTATAAAACCAGCTTAAGTCTAGGCTAGTACAAGCAGCCGCACATACACATACACGTGCATGCACGTCCTCATATGAGCGAAATATTCTCAAGCACGACGTTAAACCCAATTTCACCTCACCTCACCTCTAAACCAGCAGGGGCGGTGGGGTAGCCTAGTGGTTAAGAGCGTTCGCTCGTCACCCCGAAGACCCGGGTTCGATTCCCCACATGGGTACAATGTGTGAAGCCCATTTCTGGTGTCCCCGCCGTGATAATGCTGGAAAATTGCTAAAACCGGCGTAAAACTAAACTCACTCACTCACTTAAACACCAAGCTGACATGTTAAAGAACTAAATACTGTTCAAAACTGTCACTCACTCACCCACTGCACCTCCACATGGATCGCCTTCACATCCCACAACACAATCCCAGTGTGAAGCATACCTGTCTTGTGCATACTGTCTGTATATACCGGTTAATCGGAACCAAAGACAAGCTTTCATGTTTTCCTTTCACCCTGTTTGTGTACATACCTGTATCTTGTGCTTGCATAATTATATATACTTGCTTCAAATGAAATAAATGTTGATAATAGCCCACATGACTTTGTTTTAATCGTCATATCACATGCCATTTTACTTACAAAATGACTAAATATCCAGACATTTGGACTGTCGCTGTAACTATGGAACTCGGGTGAGAGAGAGACAGAGAGAGAGAGAGAGAGAGACGGTAAGGATTATTCATTCAAGCATAGCCTGCTACAATACATAGTTAATATACACAAAGTACGATGCTTTTTTGTTATATCGGCCACCCACATGGGTTATGGGAGACATTCTGCATTAAATATACAAAACACTCACCTCACCTCACCTCACCTCACCTCACCTCACCTCACCTCACCTCACCTCACCTCACCTCACCTCACCTCACCTCACCTCACCTCACCTCACCTCACCTCACCTCACCTCACCTCACCTCACCTCACCTCACCTCACCTCACCTCACCTCACCTCACCTCACCTCACCTCACCTCACCTCACCTCACCTCACCTCACCTCACCTCACCTCACCTCACCTCACCTCACCTCACCTCACCTCACCTCACCTCACCTCACCTCACCTCACCTCACCTCACCTCACCTCACCTCACCTCACCTCACCTCACCTCACCTCACCTCACCTCACCTCACCTCACCTCACCTCACCTCACCTCACCTCACCTCACCTCACCTCACCTCACCTCACCTCACCTCACCTCACCTCACCTCACCTCACCTCACCTCACCTCACCTCACCTCACCTCACCTCACCTCACCTCACCTCACCTCACCTCACCTCACCTCACCTCACCTCACCTCACCTCACCTCACCTCACCTCACCTCACCTCACCTCACCTCACCTCACCTCACCTCACCTCACCTCACCTCACCTCACCTCACCTCACCTCACCTCACCTCACCTCACCTCACCTCACCTCACCTCACCTCACCTCACCTCACCTCACCTCACCTCACCTCACCTCACCTCACCTCACCTCACCTCACCTCACCTCACCTCACCTCACCTCACCTCACCTCACCTCACCTCACCTCACCTCACCTCACCTCACCTCACCTCACCTCACCTCACCTCACCTCACCTCACCTCACCTCACCTCACCTCACCTCACCTCACCTCACCTCACCTCACCTCACCTCACCTCACCTCACCTCACCTCACCTCACCTCACCTCACCTCACCTCACCTCACCTCACCTCACCTCACCTCACCTCACCTCACCTCACCTCACCTCACCTCACCTCACCTCACCTCACCTCACCTCACCTCACCTCACCTCACCT